CCACATCAGGGAGGGGGTTACGTGAAAGGGCATCGGGCACCTTATTACGTTCTCCTGGTTTGTGAATGATGGTGAAGTCGAAGTCCTGAAGGCGAAGAGACCACCTGGCAAGCCTACCAGAGGGATTGGGTCGAGACATCAACCACTTGAGGCTGCTGTGGTCGGTGTAAATAGTCACATGTAAACCTTCAACATAGGGACGGAAATGTTCTAATGCCCATATAACAGCCAGACATTCCTTTTCTGGAGTCGAATAGGGCTTTTCTGATTTATGCAGAGCACGGCTAGCAAAAGCCACAGCCACATCTTTGCCATCCTCATCCTTCTGCATTAATGCTGCTCCAAGTCCAGCATCACATGCATCAGTGTGGATGAAGAACGGACACGTAAAATCTGGGAACTTGAGGACTGGTGCCGAAGTTATGGAATGTTTTAGAAAGTCCACTGCTGCTTGGCACTTGTCATTCCAGTCGAACGTCACATCTTTTTTTGTAAGAGCGAAAAGAGGCTCTGCATGACTGGCATAGTCTTGTACAAAGCGGCGGTAGTAACCCGTTAGGCCAAGAAACTGTCGCACCTGCTTTGTAGTGGTTGGCACAGTAAACTCAGTCACAGCTCTCACCTTGTCAGGGTCAGGATGAATGCCGGATGGTGTAACACGGTATCCGAGGAAGGTGAGTTCTGTAAGGCAGAATTGACATTTGCTCAGTTTCAATGACAGGCCAGCGGATTTAAGCCTGCTAAGGACCTCCTCTAGGTCAAGTAGATGTTGCTCGAAAGTTGGTGAAGCGACAACAATATCATCCAGATACACTGCACATGACTTATAAATCAGTCCAGCCAGAACATTGTTCATAAGTCGTTGAAAAGTTGCAGGGGCATTACATAGACCGAAAGGAAGGACCTTGAATTGAAACAGGCCACAATGCGTGATGAAAGCAGTTTTTGGTTTAGCCTCTTCAGCAATGGGAACCTGCCAGTAACCTCGAGCAAGGTCCAATGTTGTCAGAAATTTTCCTCTTGATAAAAAGTCCAATGATTCGTCCACTCGTGGGAGTGGGTAAGAGTCTTTCACAGTCAGCTGATTTAGACCCCGGAAGTCAACACAAAACCGTGGTTCACGGGGGGGTTTGTTCACAATGACTACAGGAGCTGCCCATGGTCCAGATGCAGGCTCAATAATGTTATCCTGTAGCATCTTTTGTACTTGTTCTTCAATGATTTGCTTTTTAGCTGGGGAGGTGCGGTAAGGTGGTAGGTTAACAGGCTTTGCATCCCCAGTGACAATGACATGTTCTGCCAGAGAAGTGCGACCTATGTGACCATCAAACAAATCACTGAAGTTATCTAGCAAATTTAACAGTTCTCCTTTTTCCGCAGCATGTAAGTTAGCGTCTTTAACTTTTTCATTAAGTGAAACCTGAGGAGTGTTCTGCAGAGTCATCGTTCCACACTCAAAATCAGCCTCCACAAAGTCGTTTTCACAGGGTTCATCCAGAAATGGGGGATTGTCATCCATAATTACAGTTCTGGTTGGGACATGAATTGTTAGCGAAGTGCGAGTCATAAAGTCCATCCCAAGAACTAAGGGGGATGACAGGTCCTGCACTATAACAAATCGTTGATAGATTGACTTGCCCATAAATCCAATGGTCAACCAGGTCACTCCCAACGGATTGCAGTCAGTGCCGTTGGCCAATCTTATGGGTGGGGAATGCCACTGATTCTTTAATGAGACATATTGGGTCTTATCAGGTATCAAGTCTGCATTTACTGCTGACAGTGACGCACCTGTGTCAAGTGTGGCCTCCAGAGCTGTTCCCTTAAAGTTTACTTTAACTCTGAAAGGAGTGTTCCAAGATGATTGTGAAGCTCCATCTTCAACGTGATTGAGCATAGGTGGTGAATTTGGGACTGACACAGCCAATGAGGGCGGAGTTAGTGACTGGGGGGAGGGTTGGCCCTGTGAAAAACTCTCCCCCCTTTGAAGTTTCCCTGCTTCCTACCTGCTGGGTTTGGTTCTCTCACCATGTTAGTGTGGTGTTTTGGTTCTGCAGTCTGTGTCACAGGATGATAATCTGCAGGTGGAGTTTGGGGATGCTCTCTGGCAGCTCTTGTAGAATGCCGAGCTCCGTGATACTCAGTGGAACAGTTCGGGCATGTGCGGGATGTAACACCCGGCATGGAACATTTAAAACAGTAGGGTCCATCATCAGTTCTATTTTTCATCTGGACTTTTGATGGCTGTAATGGGCTGGTGCCAAGAACAGAATGTAGCTCGTGGGCACGCAGCACCAAATCAATTACTGACCTGATAGGTGTTCCATACAGGGCCACTCTGTACTTTTCTACAGCATGTTTACAGATAAGGTCAATCTGTTCTTGTTCAGATGGAGGGTTCCTCAGTCTCTTGAACTCACTGAGCATATGGGCTGCAAACGTTGGGAGAGGTTCTTCGGGGTGCTGGAAACTGTCCAAGATACCTCTCATAATATGCTCCTGGTTGTCAACAGGTAAGAACACAGTTCTGAAAAGTTCACAAAATTCAGCCCAAGTAGATACATGAGAGCTGAGAACACTAAACCACTTTCTTGGTTCCTTAGCCAGAAAATGTGGTAGTTCTCTGAGAATCTGAGTGTCTGTTAAGTCCAATGAAGTATTGTAAGCATTGACAGACTGCAGCCATTCCTCTGGGTGGGGACCACCATCATTTGCGAACACAGTGGGTTCTAATTTTGCTTGGTGCAAAGCGGCAGCGAGGACTCTGGTAGTATTAATCAACTCCAGTGAATCCGAATGGGACTGAGACGGAGGCCTCATGGACTGAGTGGGGTCAGGTGCTGAGTCGTATTGCTCTTTTTTCCGGGTACGTAGACTAGGCACATATGGAGTAGACGAAGCCTGAGGAAAAGGTTGAGTAACCTGAGCACCTGGAACTTCAGGGGCGGTTATAGCTTGTTGAGTCCAACGCTCCAAAACATTTTTCTGGAGATCCAAAGATTCATGTAGACATTGTTGAAGCCTGTCGACCTCTTCTTTTAAGCTTTGCACTTTATGTTCCAGGTCAGGGGTATTGTGTCTGGTAGTATTGTGGTTTGGGAGCAACTTAAAGTCCAAATCATCACATACATCAGTCAAGTCAGGATGAGTAGCCATAATGTACACTTATGTGAACCCAAGTCTGTATAATGCAAGTTATGCTGGAATAACTTTAGCTCAGGTCGCACGGAAATAATTCTACGAATGTTAGTTATCAATTTTAGCAGTGTGAAAATTTGGAATACATTTTGCTGTACACAGACATGAACTTAGAATTTAACATGTGAAGATTTTTTTTTTTTTTTTCAAATACCCTTAAAAATAGTTTCCAAATAGGTACCTTCAACCAGTAAAATCAAAAGTCTGTAGTTAGGAACACCTTCAAATTAGTGTAATTATATTTCAAAAACAAATTTTCTTTCATTTTATACTGTCCTTTGTCTTTTTCAACAAAAAAAAATATATATATGCTGCTGAGTCCGATGAATAGCTTCCGTATATTTGTTTTAATCCATTCTCATTCAGAGTTTAAGGTTTTTCTTTGTCTCCTCTTCTTTTACTTTGTTTTTCGTATACTCACGGCTTCAGTTGTATCTTTTCAGATGAATTTGTCTTGCAGCTCTGATCCGGCACAGAGCTGAGTCCAGTGAAAACGTTCCAAAGAGGTTGTTCAGAAAAAGAACAAAACTTGCGCGCGCTCAGCCGATGAGGGGTTTTCCGCTTCACTCCGCTGTGCATACATGCACATTCAGAAATTATAAAGCATAATCCGTCTCACGTCCATGCAGCGCAGTTGATCCAAAGTTGTCACGGCAAAGGGTTTAAACAGA